CAAACACCAGAAAATAACACAATAAGACAACAGAGGACAACACAGGCAAAGCACATGAACATCAAACTGCCCCCACTGCGAGGGTCACTCTGACAATCACTCCACCTAGCCACGGGAGGACCTGAGGCGACCAACTAAGGCCCAGAACCACTGATCGTCATTCCATTGTGAACATCCCCGGTAAAATCACGAGGTCCCTCGCGAAACCCCGCTCAGGGTATCTATGGCAGAGATAATGTACACCATGTAGGACTAGGGCTCCTTCAGGAAAGCAACACTGATGAGGGCCGAAGCTTTCCTTCTGGATAGCAAAAAATACTATAAGTACCACAAAGATCGCGAATTAGGCACAAAGGAGTGAAAACATCTGCAAAGCTTGATTGAGGAACTTATAAAGTAAAGGAAGATGAAAGAATTTCTCGCCCCAAAAGCCCGACCCAAAGACAAGGCAAGCCTCCCGCGGGGGAGCCACTGATGGGCCCATCACACTAACGCCATTCACATTACGGGGTAAGTGCCCGCAATCTTCGGGGAAAGTTAGCTACCTGGGAGGACAAGTCATAGGAGACAACAAACATGCGAACTCTGTGTCGCCATCTTTTTAGGAGCAATATATTAAACATATAATAGGCATCCTATAACTTAAAACTTGCTCATTGAATTCTTTATGTAAGAAGCATTGCCTTTGCAAAGGAACGAAGACTGCGAGCAACACCAATAAGCTTGAGTTCACATCTATGTGGTTGCAACTCACAAGCACAATGTCCTTAAAAAAATACAAACACATATTTTCTACTCACAAGTAGGCATGATAGCCAACATGATTATAGTCCCAATACAAGTTGCAACTGCACATTTGGCAGCTTGAAGAAAGATGACAATGATTTCAACAATATGCCGAGGAATGCAGATAACAAAATAGAGGGGAGTGGAAGAAAAACAGAAAGTGAGTAGCATAGGAGAACTGAAGAAGACAAAGACGACAAAATAAGTAATACAAAGAGAAAATGTTGATTTTGAATTATTTCGAAGTTTTAGCATTGCTATATGTAAATATAAAGTTATGGGTGATATGTATGTAAATCCCCAAAATTCTCAATGATTTTATGGTTACAAATGTAAATATAATAATTTAATAATTAAAAAATAATAATATTTTGTTTATCCCCAAAATATACTGCATTTAGATTGGGCTCCCTCGTGGAAACTATAATGGCGATTCATGGACCCGAGTCTTCTCCCCGTCCCGCGATTCAATATCGGTGACATCCGCTGCAGAAGCATAGTTCGGGAACGAGCCGCCGTCGCCTCTACGTTGATTTTAGGCGTTAGCTGCTGAAGAAATATTCGATTTCTTCCTCGCTAGAAGTTTTCTTTCCTTCTCACCTTCAAACTCATTGCAGCAGTTCTTTACCCAGAGTTTTTCTTTCCATAGCTGTGAACGTGAATGGGAAAGGCTTCGAAAGATAAAAGGGTTCGATTGCTTGAAATGATCCTCTATATATATGTTGTCTTTCGTCTCTTTTTGTGCTCTTATGGGCTTTATCTTCACATTCCCGAGTGTATGTACCGTCGTTTGTTTTTAGGATATCTACTACCGGAAGGCAAAGGAGGAGGGTTGGCGGGCGCGCAGTGCGTTCAAGCTCCTCCAGATTGATAATGAGTTCAGTATTTTTGAAGGTTATTGTTTTTATCAAGTTTAATTTTTAGTTTTAGATAACTATTTTAATGTATGTAAAGTTTGATTGATGCTGGTGGCAACTTATGATCTGATGACCGATGACAAGTTCAGGAAAAAATTGTTTTGGTTTTCGTGTTTTCTTCATGCTACATGAATCCGTGCTATGTGAAATAAAGAAGATAACTGATAGCTGATTTGTGTGTAGAAGAAATGAGAATATTGAGTTAAAATTGTGATAAAGTTTGAAATGATGGTGTGAGAAAGTATTGTATTATAGAAACAATTGGATATGAAATATAAAGTATAATGAGTATAATTAAGTGATTTGGGCATTTCAAAAGCCTAGAACAAAAACAAAATGATGGGCATATGATATAAGCATGAAAATATGAGAAAGAAAATTGTTAGTCCAATGCTAGCATAGCTAGAAGATAAAAAAGTTACATGTTGATTAAAGTTACCTTTTATTATCTCCCAAAAGATTTGGATGGAGGATTATTCAACAAGTTGAGCCCATTTAGTTGAGATATGAAGAATGCTTCAAGCTTTTATTGGGATGAACTAATCTCCTATGAGGAACAGGATGGATATTCTCCTTCCATTTATATGTTGATGTTATGACCTTCAAACACAAGATTCAAACAATCCATTACTCTAGCATTATTAATGCTAGTTACATGTAAGATTTCTTTTTTTTTTTGGATAATTTGATCATTAAATGAATGTATCAAATTCTTAGAGGTTGATTTCAAGGACTTTAGAAGAAAATTGCGATTTTTGATTCACAATTTTTCAAATGGCTTCAAACTTAATACAAGTGTCATTGATCTATAAAGTATTTGATAACCTTTCCTAGTGAAATATGTTACTAGGCTTTTATATGGGCTTCTATATTCCATATGATCATCCATATTCTTTTCACATATTTGACTCATTAAGTTGTTATAATGATTGATGACCTATACCCATATGCAAGTTTCTTGTGGGAGATGAAAATTAATGCTACTTTATTATGGTCGAAGACTGTCTAGAACTATGGCCTTAGAGGATAAAATCCTTCTCATACTTGCCTTATTGTATTATATTGCATTTTATTTAGTAAGCTTCTTGCATTATTATATCATAATTCATTTTATCATGGGACTCTTGCTCAATATTTAAAACTACACAATTGGGTATTGAGGCATGTTTTGTTCTCAATGCAACACATAAACTTTGAAGTGATTTGAGGTGTAAGCCTCACAATTTGAAAATTGTGTTGACCAAATAAAAGGGTAAAAATAATATATTATCATTATTCATATGTATGTATGTATGTATGTATGTATGTATACATGTGTGTGTGTGTATACATTAAATAACTACATATTAATATTCTAACATAATAAAAGATGACAAATTGTGTTTATATAAAATAGCACATTGTCTATGTCACAACATATCATGTAACAATCAACTCATAATAAAAACATCAACTGATTATGTCATCAAAAAAAAATATAAAAGATGGAATGAAAGTAGCATAAAATATGAAAGCAAGATATAAGGTAAGTTTAACATAGTAGACTTATCTCACTCCTATAGTTACAGACAAATAACATCCATAGAACTAAATCAAAATAAAATAAATAATCAAAAGCTGAAGCAGCAGACAACAACAATGACAACAAGAACAACTAGTGGTGGCAGTAAAAAGAGCAACGAATGATTGTGGTTGTAGTAGGAGCAATAGGTGGCAATATAGAAGAAGCATACAACTACTGCAGTGGATGCAACAAGCAATGGCAACAGTGCCTGAGGTGGAAGCAACAAGCGGCGATGACAATGTTGGCAGCAAAAGCAACATCTATCTATGTTGGGAAGCCTGAATGGGGAGAGGAAAGCTCTTGGTTGTGAGAGTGCGACTTCAATCCGCATTCAATCCGTCTGATATAGGGGAATAAACCTAATGTCTCAACAAAATTGAGATGAGTTGCCTCTACTGATGTGGGTGTACGCCTCGCCCAAGCTGCTAGGACATACACCTTGAAGCATTTTTCTTTTGAATTGCGTTGAGGCAGATTGCTTAATTTTAAACATTACTCTTGATCCTATACAAATAAGTTGTCCATTTAAAGTCTTACTCATTTTAGATGTTTTTTACTATTTGTTAAACATATTTTCTTACTTTTTTCATTAGTCATCTATATGAATAATTGAAGTATGCATGAAAGTACAATTGGAGTTTTTGAATGCGAGTAGAGTATATTAAAAATGACATGCAGAGAATTATGTGAACCTTTGGGAAAACTTTATGCATGCTGGATAAAGGTTTTTTTTTTTTTTTTTTTTTTAATGTAGATTTTGGTATTACTAGCTATGAAGTGATCTCAATGTTGTTATAGTTCCATATTGGGTTGCCTTTAGTTCTGGATCAACTTGTGGAAAAGAGCAATTCAGGAAATAATGTTAGTGCCTAGCCATAGGGTTTTCCCATTGCAAAGTACCTTTTATGCTATAGTCATGAAAAGAGACCTGGTTCCTCTATTTTGTAGAAGAATATTCTTTTCTTACGCGAGTTTGGGATTGGAGTAATAGAGTTCAAATCCCTAGGCGGCCTTTTGGAGATAAGATGTTGAACTCCTGAGATGGGAAGGTAGAGAAGAACTCAAAAGCTTGTGGATTCTCGAAGTTTTAGAGCTGTCTCAAGAGAGCAATGATCTATGAAGAATTATGTTGGTATCTAACTCTATTGCTATGGGAAAACATATGTTGTCTACCTATTTCGCGAGGGATGTTGTGAAACCAACAATTAGCAACGAGTGTAGCTACCCTATGATTTGAGAAGGTTTGGTAAACTTTTGAATTTCAGTAAGATCACAAATTTGGATCACATTTGCTCGAGCAAATGAACTAGAGGTGACAACTCTATGGCGGTTTTGCTCGCCGTTGCCCCTCTTTCACTCCACTTATGAGCACACATACAATCATTCACTCGGGCAGGACACTCGAGGAATGGGATGCCTAGGACTTGTTCAATTTAGCTCATTTCATCTGTAATATTTATTTTTTTGATGTGTGTCTTGAGAGGGAGGGAGGGAGGGAGTTTGAGGTTTACTTTAGGATGCGTTAGGGTTCATGGTATTCACTGGGATATATGCTAGTTTGATGGTTTATTTTTGAGAAACTCAGCATTAATTATAATAATTATTTTCAGATTTCTTATTGCGCATCCAAACATCCTTAGATTGGTTTAAGGACAAGTTTTTTGTTGATTCTAGCATGGCTTCATTCACGAACCAACTTGAACTTCTTTATGCTTGTCCAAATTATCTTTTCCAATTCAATTTCATGTTGAGGGATTGTTGTAATTGCATAAAGATCAGCCTAGATTGTATCTTGAAAGGATGCCTTGAGTTTCTATTTCAGGAAGGGCTTTGACCAAGGAAGCTTCAAATGCATTGTAATCTTTCACCAAGGTAAGAAAAATTATGCCACAACACAATCAATGCGAGTACTTCTAGAATTCTAACAAGATTACCTAAAAATAAAGGGAAACTATAAGATATAATGAAAATTCCTATGTGATCGTGTATAATTTTTAAGACAAAGCACATATTTTGAAGTGCATTCGAAAAGCTGAAGTGGATTTTAATTTTATTCAAGTTAGTTAAATTGAAGCATAACATATTGAAACAAACATGTTTGATCTCTAGACAAATTTTGAAGATAAAAATCTTTCGGCAACTTGCAAACTAGTTTAATTGGGCTTAGTGAACTTTAACATGTCCAACTTGGTTGCCACCTAACCAGGTTGGATGAAACCTCACTAAACATAGGCTGGTCTTCTTTCTCACTTAGGCCTCACTCTTTTGCAAGGAAGAAATGATGCAACAAATCCACGTCATCATGTGTTGGTTTTCTAAGAACCTTCTTCTCCAGATCATTAAGAGTGTGTTGGTTTTCTAAGAACCTTCTTCTCCAGATCATTAAGAGTTTTTTTTTTTTTCATTTGTTGAAGGTAATATGCCTCTATTTGTCAGATAAGCCTTAGCTATATTTTGAATATTTCTAAGTTGGCCTTGACCAAACCCATAACTCCTTCAATTCATTTGTAGAATTTTTACCGAAGATTCAGAGAGAGAATGACGGATTTGACAATATGGGGAAATCTTACTTGTTAGATGATCAGAGTGTATCATCTAGCTCGGCTATATAGTTATTTGGCCAAATTTTTACATTGCTAATTTCTGATCCTTATTTTCTTCTCCTTTGCTGACGCTCAACTAAACTCTCTCATTGGCCACTATTCAATCTTCATTGATGATTGGCTTAGCTCTTTCAACGACTTCGAGTCAACCTTTTCCGCTAATGATATGTTGACCTCCTTCATCGACTATCAATGGCTCTCCTCCATCAAAACTTGGTCTCGTTTGCATTGGTGTCCTGTTTGTCTCCTTCATTGATGATTGATGAGTTTTGTTCATTTTCATCTTGTCAGCTTATATTGTTTGCATCTATTCAGACTCTCTCTTTGATGTTTAGCTAGTTTTCCTCATTGAAGTTACATAAATTCATTCAACCGTTACCATGATGGCATCCACCACAATCATTGAGATAGCTCCTTCTCGGTTCATTATTACTGCAAAATTTTGCATCCAATGGCAGCACTGTATATGGATCAGCTGATCAATCTTTATTCTCATATAAATCATGTACTGGCATCCCTCTAATAGCCAAGAGGAGACAGTAATCTGTTGTAACTTCATATTATTCATGGAGAAGGCTCATCATCTTGGTTATTCCTATAATTTTTCCCTCTTGGCTATGTGTAAAGGATATCAGATCTCCTTTACTTTTTTGCTTGATTGGAAAATATATAACTAAGACAACACCACCACCCCACTCTCTTGACCTGCAGAAAAATTTATGCCACACAACTATAGTTATTAAGCTCATTACTTCAATTTGGGAAGATCAAAATCATTGTTGATATTTTTTCTCTAAATTATCTCTTTTTTTTTGCAAATTTATGTGTTTCTCTTTACCATAAACATCAAGTTGTGTTTCGCTGATAGTTTGTAGCAAAGTTGCTACTATTTTTTCCTTAATTATTCTTTCTGCTATTTTGACGTTTTCTAGAATTGAATGCACTATGTTAGCACTTAATACCTGATATCTTTTTTTTAGACGCATAAAATACAATACTAATGTGTTGTTCATGCTATAGTAGCCTAAATCTATAGAGCGCTCATGGAATTGATAAATCCCCTCCTTCTGGAAAGCTTACCTTCACTGTCTTGTATGAAGGGTAGATTGAGATATTGCATTCCCTTTCAATATCTTGCTCCTCCACAGATCCCACATTGATGAGAGCTTCATGCATTTTATAAGATGTCTTAGTATTCTCTAGATCATTTATGTTATTATGTTCATTTTTTGTGGTTGATGTTGTATCTTATTTCAACAGTACATGCATAATGAACTGTTTTTTGTGTTCAAATAGTTTATAATAACTAGATCTCAATCCTGATTTGCAGGAGTGAAGCGTGTAGTTGATCTTTGTGCTGCACCTGGTAGTTGGAGTCAGGTATTCTTTAGGAACAATATGTTATATGCTTTTTATTTAATAAATACTCAACATGAAGATATTGCTACTCATTCTATTAAACTTTGTCAGTAAATGTTTCTCTGTTGCAATTTAGCTACAACCATTCGATTGTGTCAATAATAATCAGGAATTTCCTGTACCCTAGTGGTAGAGCTAATGTCATTGCCTATGAGGCATATATTATTTTCTGAGTGTTTTGTCCTGTTATATACTTTTATGCTGCTCTGGACAATTCATAGATACCTATTGTTTACCCAATTGGGTATGTTTAATTTATAATATTTAAAAAAAAACTTAAAAACAAGAATGCTTTTAACAAAAATGTGTCTCCTATTTAATTATTTGATAAATGCTATGACATATTTCAAATTTTAGGTTGATGGGATATTTTAGTATTCTATAATGAATTTGACTTCTTTGTTTTTTAATGAATGGTGCATAATGAGTGCAAATTTGGCCAGGATATAACAATAACCCTCCTAGTTTAAACTTGTTGCTTAGATATGAGTTAATTTTGACCGTTTCAAGTCGTTCTTACTTCTCAAAACCCTTGATCTGAAAAAATTGGTCTATTTTTAGTTCACCATGCTATAGGATAGCTAACCCTATGCCAACCCTTATGTACACTTTACTTGTTTTGATACACATTTACATGTGCATGTAACTTTTATTTTTTGTGATCACTTTCATTTTAACATTTTATCCTCTTTATTCATTATTTTACGTTAAGCACAAAAACTTCTAATATCAAATTTTCTATTTAATAAGGCTTGGTCTTCCAAGCTTGAAAGCCCACGTGTTGATTATATGATTTTAAATGTAGCGCGTTATGATGGTTTATTTGGGCCATATATCAAAGACATTCAAGAAGTTGTTTGAGTGGTTCCGAGGGGCCAACAAAAAGGTCCCAAAAATCATTGACTAGATAGGTGATGCGGGTGCAGGAAGGCCAGTTGGTTGAATCGATTGGCAGATGGACCGACAACACTGGTCCATAGAAGCTTTGGTCCAGGTTCCAATTGGACCGGGTGTTAATTAGAAGGGGCGGCAATACCGTCAACTCCTTCTCCCACTTCCTTTTTTTGTTATTTTCTTACTGGAGCCATCCTTTTTGCTATTTCCCTAATGGAGTTTTTTAAGTGTTGTTCTCTGGAATTAGAGTTAGTTTTTGCTTGTTGTTGTTTCATAATTTCCTTTGCATCCTTCCCATCTCCCTGCTAGGGTTGTATTCAATGATGGGTTGTGCTTCAACTAAATCCTTCTTTGAGGTGGTGCCGTATCTTCCCCGCCCCTTCTCCTTTGTTCTTCTTAGCCGCCGACATCTCCAACCTCCACCCCGACACCCCGACGCCCCTTTTCTACAACACACCAGTGTTGTCTAGCCATTCCATCTTCACCCCAACTCGCGGTCGCCAATCTTCCTGCATTCTCCTTCCTGTCCCACTCCTTAAGCCTATCTACCAGCCTCTGAATCACTCTCTTTGATTTATTCCACAGCTTCTTAACCGCTCCCTTACCACTTCACCGACGCCACCATCGCCCTTTGATCTTCTTTTCTTTCGGTCCTAGCCAAAGAGTTGCTTTGTTGTATTTTCCTTTCCAATTTGAGTCATTTTGTAACCCTAATTCAATTTCAATACAAGTTTGTTTTCATTTCTGCTAATTCTTGAACTGATCTCTGTATCATTTGGTATTTGAGTTAGCCTAACCCTAATCCTATCCTAGGGTTTCTTGGCATTCGCCACAAACCAAAAATTTTCTTTTCTGCCACAAATACTCTTTCCACTTCTACAAATCAAAAACTCTAACCCTGTCATCAAGAAGATATCCTTGAGCCACCCGGGAAGAGATACAGCGAGATCTCCATTGCCTTCAACAGAGGCTTGCGGAGATGGATGAGACAACCCAAGGGGATCTTACCCTCAACCAAGATGTGGAGAGTCGAAGGGGATAAAGAGAGGAAGATCTGAATCTCTTCCATAGGGAAAATTTCAATGATGAAGAAGACAGGCCGCGACGTTTTAGAATCCAATATCAGAGGAGAACTAGAGATGGGTATTTGAATCCCTTCCGTAGAATTTCAAAGAAGAGATCATTTGGAGGGCACAAAGACTTTGACATCAAAGTGGATGTGCTAGAGTTTGAGAGAGGTATGGATCAAGAAAATTTTATTGATTGACTGCAATTTGTTGAATGGATCTAAGAGTACAAGGATGTGTAAAAGGATAAGAGGGTCAAATTTGCTGCTATCAAGATGAAGAAAAGTGCCTCGTAGAATAAACTTATAGAGACAGAGGAAAATGCAATGTAGCATTAAGATTACCAGGTGGGAGAAGATTGAAAAGGCGATGCAGAAGAAATACCTCCACCCCATTATTGCCAGGATATGTTTTTGAGGCTCCACCACATGCAACAGAGGGATCTGTCAGCAGAGGAGTTCACAGAGCAATTTGATTAGTTGCAGATGAGGTGTGATCTGGTTGAGTGGGAGGAGCATGCTATAGCCCGTTATCTGGGAGGCCTAAAGCCAACTATCAATAATGTGGTGCAACTGCAATCTTATTCATCACTTGGAGATGTTCAAACTCTAGTCTTGAAGGTGGAAAGACAACAGGAATAAAACAGACATCAGTCGTTCTTCAGGCAGCAGTCTTCAGTCAAACAGTCACGTACAGTTATCACAACCGATAATGGTAACTCGGGAGGATTTAGCAAGCCCATACATGGATTTTACAAGCCGGATCAGAGTGAGAAGAAACATGAAACGGTAATTCCTCCAATACAGTATTAGCCAGAAATTGTTTCAAGTGTCACGTTTACTACCACACAGTCTCCAGCTGTCCCAAGAGCCGAGTAGTCACTCAGATTAGGGCGTTGTGGAGGAAATTAGCAATGAGGAAACAATTGAGAACCGGGGTGAGGTGTATCTTTTTCCACTAGATGAAGGAGAAGCGTTCGTAGTTCGACGAGTTCTGCAGACTGATGGTGATGCGAGGGATTCGTAGTGGCTTTATCACAATATATTCTACACCCGATGCACTATGAACATGAATGTATGAGCCTCATCATCGATAAAGGAGACGTAAGAATGTTACATCTACACAGATGATTGATAAATTAGACCTCATGACTCAGATACATTCCTGGCCATATTCCCTGACGTGACTGAAAAAGGAGAATTTGGTCAACATCGACCGAAGATGCTTAATATAGTTCTCAACTGGGGCTCAATTGTAGGAACAAGTGTGATGCGATGTGGTCCATATGAATGCCTACCACCTTTTGTTGGGGAGAGCATAACAGTTTGACAAGAGGACTCAGGACGACAGATTCATGAACACATTTTCCTTCACCAAGGACGAGAAGCACGTCATCCTACTTTCTTTGGCGGAGTTCGAGAGCACAAGCACCCTTACCAGCAAAGCAACATCTGTGGGACTGGTTTTGGTAATGATATTGGGTGATAGGACTGAGACACAAGCTCTAGACATGGGACAAACACTACAGAGAGTATTTCAGGATATCACAGTCAATATCGTACCACCAACACCACGTTTGTGTAGGAAGTTTCCGGTTAACCCCACCTCAGATGTAATTAAACAAACCGTGGATTACTCTGGGAGTATTCAACAACAGACGAGAGACGCACAGACTCAGGTCAGTTTAGTAGCAGACTCCCGGAAGATTGTACCGATGTAGACTCTTTCTCAAAAGTTGGGAAGACCCTCAGGCGCCTTGGAGGGTGATGCAATCGACAGTGGGATCCAGGTGCTGCTAAGTTTACATGAGAGGAACCGAAAACTTCGACGAATGAGGTCGAAACTCCCCTAATTCCAGCAGATTGACGTGAGTGCACAAAGGCATAGCCGACTGAATTGGTTGGCAAATGGACCGACAACACCGATCTAGGCCCTAACTGGATGGTGCGTCAATTGGAAGGGGCGGCAATGCCACCCGTCCCTTCCCCCACTTACCTTTTCCATTATTTCCTATTGGAGCCTTCCTTTATGTTATTTCTCTATTGTTATCTTTTTAAATGTGACTTTTTGGAATTAGAGTTAGTCTTTGCTTGTTGCTGTTTCAAAATTTCCCTTGGATCTTCTCCTCTCCCTGTTAGGGCTATATCTAACGACGGGTGGTGCTTTGGCTGTATCTTGCTCAGAGGTGGTGTTGCATCTTCCCCTAGCATCCTCCACTCCCCTTCTCCTCCACTCCCCTTAACTGGTGACCACTCCAACCTACACCCCAACACCCTGCCACCGCTTTACTAAAGTATATTATTGCTGTCCAGCCATCCGACCTTCACCCTAACACCCTGCCGCCCCTTTCCTGCAGCGTACTAATGCTGTCTAACCATCCGGCCTCCACCCCAGCACCCTGTCGCCATCTTGCTACATTCTCCTAGCCGTCCCACTCCTCCTGCACACATACCAGCCTCAAAATCACCCTCTCCAACTTACTCCACAGGCTCCGGCCCTGACCCTGCTCCCTTAACACATCGCGGATGCCACCACTACCCTATAATCTTATCTTCCAGTCCTAGCATGAGAATCGTGTCGTTGTATTTTCCTTTTCAGTTTGAGTCGTGTTGTAATCTTAATTCAATATCAATAGAAGTTTGTTTTCATTTCTGTTAATTCCTGAATCGATTCCGTCACTAGATCTTAAGCTTAGTGTCACGGACAAATAGTCCCACATCGGCTAGGTGTAGGGCCGAAAAACAGTATTTAAGTCCTGGGCTGCCCACCTCACTTAAGGGCTCTTTTGGGAGGTGACAAGTGGTATCAGAAAAGATTGCTGTCTGC